TTTTTCTTTTTTCTTTTTTGAATAGGCAAGTTCAGTATAATTTTTGTTGTTAAAAAAAAAATCTATCCTCATTTTCATTCATTTACACTTCCTGAGAGGGAAAGATGCAAAATGAGTTAATTACTATTTAAATAAGGTTTTAGTTTCAAATGGTACCTAAAGAAAGAGCTCTGGCAGCGTAGTGCCTAAGACACTTGACTGCTAACCAGAAGGCTGGTGGTTCAAACCCACCAGCCACTCCTCGGAAGGATGGTTGGGCAATCTACTTCTGTAGTGATACTGCCTTGGAAACCCAAGGAGGGGTCGCTATGAGTCGGGTCTGACTTGATGGCACATAACAACAGCAACATTTAATGAAGCATAGAGACACTAACAAAAATTATTACTCCCCTTTAGTGTGTACTTTTTTAAAAAAAAATGTACATGTTTCATATTAAATAAATTTAACTATTTTTTAAATTGTTTGATTCTGCTACATCATTTTTTTTTTATAACACAATTACTTCTAAATACCAACGGAGTATAATATGTCAGTTCTTCTATTTGCTTTCCCTTTTCTTAATACTACTAAAAAAAATCTATCCTAGAGTGGACTCAAACCCTTGAAACAGAGATGGAATTTTGCCTGACTCTCTGAGTCAATTCCCTCTATTTCTCTTTTTGCACTTATTTAAATAAGTCCTGCATGGGAAATATTACATAAGAAACTTGCATTAAATCCTTTTGCTTTTTTGTTTGTTTGTTTCAATTTTTTTTCTTTAAAGCAATTTCATATTCATTAGAAATGGCATGTTTTCAGGTAATGGGTCATTCAAATTTTATGACAATATTATTCAAATATTTTCCATTCCATTCACTTTACATCTTCCAGAGAAAAGTGAAAAATATAACAGGAAATTGTCAGAATGTTAAGATCCTGTGTGGCCTGTCTAACGTTCATGAAGGGTTTGCTCAGAGTTAGGAACTAAGATCTTTAATCATATTTTACCTACATCATTCACACATGTCTTCCAAATAATTCCTTCTCTCACTTCTCTTTTGGAGCCCTTCTTATGAGTTTTCTGTTTACAGTTTATGTATCCAGTACCTGCAACTTGCTCTTTGATGTTTCAGTGTTACTTGATTTAATCTTCCCTTTTGGGAAATGCATCACATCCTAAACATTTTGGAAACCTTAAAACCATGATTGAAGAAATACTAGAATAAAAATAGCAAATAAATGGAGAACCTGAGGGTAGTTTCTGCAACTCACACATCTAGTTATGGTGGTGCAAACTGTTGACTACACACACTTACTAACCAAAGGTTTGGCAATTTGAGCCTACCCAGACGTGCCTCAGAGGAAAAGCCTATTTCTGAAAAATCACAATTGAAAGCCTTATGGAGCAAAGTTTTACTCTAAAACACATGGGGTTGCCATTAATTGGAGTTGACTTGGGACTAACTAATAGCTGGTAGAACTGAGTTTAATATTCTTCTTCCAGGGAGAGAAAAAAGTTTCTTAGGATTAGATCCTCCAAAAACTAAGGATTTGGGTGCAAGTAGTTTATTTAGGACATGATCTGGGGAAGCACTATGAGAGGGTAAGGAAGTTAGCTAGTTATTGATTGGATGTCTGGAGCTAAGTCTTGCTGATCAACTTCTGAGAGACTGAAGAACATACTTCAGAATCATCCCACCGATTGACACAGATTCTGGGATACTTATCCATTTACCCCAACCCTCATTGGTTGATGGAAGCTTAGATAGCACTAACTCCACCTCCCACCTACCCTAAAATCAGCTGAAATTTGCTTACAGTCACAGAATAAAATCAGACAGAGAAAAGACATTAGTGTGCAAAGAAATTGCATGCAACTTCCAGTGCTTGCCAAGCAGAGGACAGGAGACATGAACAGTGTCTGCCAAAGTTAGGATTCATGTGGGAAACATGTTACAAAAAGCAGCACTGGATCTAACTTCTTTATCAGAGGTCCCTACTAAAATTATGTGACAATGCAGCTATAAAGAATAATGATGGGTTCTTCAAATGTATTATAATGTGGGTTTATCTGGAGGACATTAGACTGAGTGAAATAAGTCACTCACAAAAGGACAGGTGTTGTATGATCTCACTTTAAAAAAAAAGAAGAATATGTATACATACAGAAGTCAAAGATCATTGGTGCTTACTAGGGATGGGGCAGTGATCACTCTCTAGAGAATAGACACTTGCTATGTTCGGTGTTGGGAAAGGTAACACCAAATGTGGGTGAAGTGTGCAAAACTTGGCCAAGGTAAATGATGTCACTAAGAATTACACAAGAAAAAAGGATGTTTTTAGTAAATGCTATGACATGTACAATTTAGTAACAACAGCAACAACAACCAAAACATATGTGTATAGTTTCATATATATGTACATATACACACATGTATATAGGTATGCATATGTGTGTATACATATGTACCAATAATAAAAAAAAATTCATTGCCATTGAGTCGATTCTGACTCATAGATAGCAACCCCCTTCAGGTTTTCAAGGCGGTAAATCTTTACGGAGGTAGATTGTCCAATCTTCCTTCTGTGGAGTGGCTGGTAGGTTTGAACTGCCAACCTTCTGGTTAATGATCAAATGCCTTAGGCACTATGCCACAAGAGTACCTCTATATATACATCTATATATACCTATATAGATGTTTGTATATAGATGTATGTGTGTGCATGTATATATTTTCATATACACAGTAAAGCACATAGAGGGTTCAGTTATAGGTACTTGTTAAGATTAACTAAACATCATGCAGGATTAGTTTACAGTGTTTGAAAGCTTATGACCATGATCTCATGGGGCAACTCATTCAATTGGCATAATTCATAAGGTGTGTGTTCTACATCTTATTTTATTGAGTAGTGTCTAGAGTCTTAGTAACTTGCAAGCAGCCATCTCAGATACAACTATGGGTCTCTACTTGTCCAGAGTAAAAGAGAAAGAAAGAAATCAGAAACTCAGAGAAGAAACTAGTCTACAGGACTAACAGTGTACAGGAACCACAATGTGATCTATCTTGGAACCAGAACTAGATGATGCGAGGCTACCACTATCAACCATTCTAATCAGGAACACAGTAGATAGATCCTGATAGAATGAGAGAAAAATGTGGAACAGAACTCAAATGCTTAAAATGTTCAGACTTACCGGATCAGTTTAAATAGAGGAGTTTCCAAGACAGTTGCCCTGAGATACTCTTTAAAGTTATAACTGAATTTATTCCCTGAGGTCTCCTTTTAGATAAATAACAGATTGGCTCATAAAATAAAGAATATCACCTGTGAGTATTGTGCTCCTTTCAAAAAATCATGTATATGACCTCAAACAGCCAATGTTTACAGTAAATCAAAGATGAGAAGACAAAGAGGGAGGGAAAATAGATTGCTGGACACAGAACAACCAGAAAGGAAATTTTGACACACAGTGAAAAAATGTAACCAATATCATTGAACAATTTCTACAGAAAATAGTTAAAGAGAACTTAACTTTTTGGTGCTGTGTAAACTTGCACCAAAATCACAATGAAATAATATCAAAAAAATATCTATATAACAAGTCACTTAATTCTCTGAATGACAATTTCCACATAAAAATTATAATATAGTTGATGCCTACTTTTTACCCCAATGGTTAGTGGATGGGAATTACCATACTTGTGTTGTTGTTAGATGCCCTCAAATCAGTTTTTGACTCATAGCGACACTATGTGACAGAATAAAACTGCCCTGTGTAATTTCCGAGGCTGTAATCTTTACAGGAACAGATTGCTAGGTCTTTCACCCACGGAACTGATGTGTGAGCTCAAACCACCAACCTGAACTGTTAAGTTGCCAAGGGCTTAACTATTGCACCACCTACAACCCTTCCTAAACTGCTTGATCTTAAACGACTGTACCCAAAAGACTGTTTTGGGGACAGTAATAGCAGTAGCCCTTTGATTAGTGAAAGGTGAATCTCATCAAATAAGAAAAAAATCTGTGGTATTTAGAAAGAAAAATATCTTTTACATTCATAAAAAGAACTGAAGCTTTAGCAAGAAGTGTTATAGGGAGAACAGTTGGGCAAGATACAGAATTAGGAGATGTGCTTGAAGAAGAAGATTTTCACTTTCCAATTAGAGAATCATAAACTTTGAGCTATCAGATAAAATAAAGGATGCCCAGTTAAAGTTGAATTTCAGATAATAAAAAACAAAAAGGATCTTCATGGTTTATCTGAAATTCAAATTTAACTCAGTGTTTTGTATTTATATTTGCTAAATCTGGCAACCCCAACCCTGTGCCAACTATACGTCTGTGGTGTGTGTGTGTGTGTGTGTGTGTGTGAGAGAGAGAGAGAGAGAGAGAAATGGGTAAGGCCTAGGAATAAAAATAAAACTTAGAGCTAGTTTTTGATATTTTATAGCATTTAGAATACAGTATCAAAATATTCCAGATTAGAAATATTCTTATAGAAAAACCAATCATAGAAACAACAAATGTTTTCTGGCAACTAGGGAAAATAACTGAAAATATACAAATGAATGGAACAAAGATAAGATGGAAATATTAAAATTAATAGATGCTGTATTTTTTGTAATATTACATATGCTCATTTTTTATCACGTTTGGTTTGCTCCAAGACATTATAAATTTAAGCTAAAAATATATTTTTAAATTAGCCTTATTATTTAAATTACATTGTAAGTAAACTCTACAGAGACTATCTTTGAGTAAACCAATATTTTAATAGATCACATACTCTATACTACTCTTTACAAAGAATGTTTTATTTTTTTTAAATATGAAAAGCCTAGTGATGTTGTACTAAAAAAGATGCAAAAACCATTAGCTAAAAATAACTTTTAAACTAGTCTTGATTTGAAACTTTAATCTTTATTATTTGTAAACCATGACGTGGACGTGTATATGTGTGTAATCCACACTGAATTTGTTTTAAGCAGAGATCTATAGCATAAGATATACTAACCTTATGTTGTTGTACTTGGCGTTTTAGGTCTTCAAGATCAGGTCCAAGGGGCTCGTCTTCCATTTTCTTTGTTCTCTCTTCTGTTTTTGTTAACCAGTCATTCAATTCTTTCAGCTGCTGATTCTGGAGATCCATCAAGACTTTATGTAAACTAAAAATTTGAAAGAAGTATATGATTACTTCTGTTAAGACAACTTAATATTATTAAACCTACAGCTAGATAAAACTATTGACATTTATAACGTATGGCAATTTCATACTTTTTAGCAGCTACTAGACTCTGGTAGCATAGTGCCTAAGGCACTTGACTGCTAACCAGAAGGCTGACAGTTCAAACCCACCAGCCACTCCTCGGAAGGAAGGTTGGGCAATCTACTTCTGTAGTGATGTTGTTGTTGTTATGTGCTGTCGAGTCGGCCCCGACTCATAGCGACCCCTCCTTGGGTTTCCGAGGCAGTATCACTACGGAAGTAGGATTGCCCAACCTTCCTTCCGAGGAGTGGCTGGTGGGTTTGAACCGCCAGCCGTCTGGTTAGCAAGCAAGTGTCTTAGCCACTATACTGCCTTGGAAACCCAAGGAGGGGTCGTTATGAGTTAGATCCAACTCCATGGCAGTGAGTTTGGACATTAAGTAGGAAGATAATTAGAGCCTACTATCAATCATATCTGACTACATTATTTTTAAATTTATTATAGTCCACGCATCTCAGTTTCTAGAAAATTGCATAGGTAAGTAAATATGAACATGGTAACTAAAGTGTGAGTCATTATTGATAATTGAGACAGTACTTTATCTTGGCAATTATTTGTTTGTATTTCCATTATTTGGATAAACATGGTAGTTAAAGATGATGTCATTCTTCTCATCAAAATAAGAAAGCTATTTCCCATCCTCTTGAATAGGGGCTGACCTTGTGACTAGGTTTGACCAATAAAATGGGGCAGAAGTGACATGGCACCAGTTCCAGCTTTGACTTGTAAAAGAACGGGCAGTAGCTATATTATCTATTGTGAAATCCAGGTGTCATGAGTGAGCCTACTGAGTGATTAGAGGCCATGGGGAGAGTAGCCTTGGAGGATGCAGCTGATATTCTCTTGCAAAATGAGCTTCTTAGCTGAATGAGCCCGATCAGTAACTTCAGCTACATCACTCAGAGCAGAGCAACAACTCAGCTGAGCCCTGTCTATCCTTCCTAACCCATTAAATCATGACACAATTATAAAAAATTGTTTTAAGGTACAAAGATTTGGGGCCATTCATTACACAGAAATAAGCATATGAAGCAGTGCTTTTTCAAAGACCTACAAAATAGTGAGCTGGGCGAGGAATTTAAATTCCAAAGACCTGGGTAGACAGCCCAACAATATGCTCTCAAAGCAAGGCCTTAAATCTTCTCAATTACATTTCCAATACCAGTGATATGCAATAATACCTTGGCTATCAATTACACAACATTATAACCAAACCAAAAAACTCACTGCCATCGAGTCGAATCCGACTCATAGCGAGCCTTCCTTGGGTTTCTGAGGTGGTATCTCTACAGAAGTAGATTGCCCAATTTTCCTTCCAAGGAGTGGCTGGTAGGTCTGAGCCACCAGCCTTCTGGTTGGCAAAATTTGGGTTCTTTCATTCATTAATTAGCAAATAGTTGAGATGAAAAGAAGTGTCAATATTCATTTTAAGTTGCATGTTCTTCATGAAAGTCATACTTAAAAGCATCTTGAGATATGTCAATATGCTGAACACTTATAACACCAATAAAAAAGATATCATTTGAATTAGGACTTTATCAGTCAGACTTATAAAATCTTAACTAGAGATTTCCTTTAATCAGCATATTTAAACACACAAAATATACACAACTGAGAGTGTTTAAAATGATCTGGCTTACACCACTTATCGACTTTTAACTTTTTATAGACACATGTCCCCTGAGGCATATTACAATCAAAAGTCTGAGAAAGAGCTATCATTGCTCAAACAGAAAAAAACAGACATCTTCTTTTTATGGAGAAAAAAACATAGATGGGGAATCCACTTAAGTGGAAGCAAAGACTGAAAGTTGCTAAGATTAAGCTTTTAGACAATGAACACCATCTCAGCACTGCAAGGTATATGAATCTTCCACTTTATTGGTTCAGTGACTCACTTGAGAACTGATCTGATCATAACATTTCATGAGAATTGGCTGTGGGATCATTCCTCATGTTTGTTTTGTTTTGTTTTTCCTTTCTGCTTGGTTTGCCATTACTGTAAGTTTAAAACCTCACATTTCAGAAACTAAATGAAAAAGCCTCACGTTATTATTACTTTTATATGAAGAACTGTTTCAAGTCTAATGTAGATTAATTAGAGTTATTAAGGGATTTTTGGGAGCTCTGGTAGCATAGTGGCTAAGACACTTGCCTGCTAACCAGGCGGCTGGCGGTTCAAACCCACCATCCACTCCTCGGAAGGAAGGTTGGGCAATCCTACTTCCGTAGTGATACTGCCTCAGAACCCCAAGGAGGGGTTGCTATGAGTCGGGTTTGACTCGACGGCACTAACAACAACAAAGGAATTTTTTAAAAGACTTCCTTTTTTTCTTCTAGACAGACATCTCATTAAATAAATATTTACTGAATTCCCTAACTGTGCTGGAAACTTCTATTTGTTAGGAATGGACAAAAGGAAATATCTTTAAGTATCTTAGAGAAAGATTACAGTATAACAAGAAAATAATTATAATTAGAGTATTCAGTGGGTACATAGGAAGAGGTTCCCAGTTGACATGGGATCATCTGGCATAGTGTAACAGAATACGTAATCACCTGAGAGTTGAAGATTGCGAATATGATTCATTTAATTATTAAATGTAGGTATATTTAGTACTTAGATTCTATGGATTGAGAGGTGAAGAAGATTCATCCAGCCCCATATTGCACGGAGCTTACATGGAGAACTCATTAGGCCATTAGTTAATTATAATTGCAATGATGCTATGAAATAGAGTCAGCTGAATTGGAACTGCGAGGTAAGGAAAGAGTTACTACAGTACTGAAATTTGAAGAACTCTAAAGCTTGAGGCAAGAGGAGAAAAATGAGTAAGCATTTTCTAGGCAGAAGGATCCACCTGCGCAAATGCATTGAGGTATCATGTAGTTATATTGTTAAGTGCCATCAAGTCAACTCCATTCATAGTGATACTAAGTATAATAGAAGCAAACATTACTGGGTCCTACACCATCTTTACAATAGTATGTGTTTGAGCTTATTGTCGAAGCAACTGCTAAATCTATCTTATTGAAGATCTTCCTCTTTTTTGTTGATTCTCTACTTTACTAAGCATGATGCCGTTTGTCCAGGGACTGGCCCTTATAACATGTCACCATCCTTGCCTTTAAGGAGCATTCTGGCTGTACTTCCCCCAAGATAGCTTTGTTTGTACTTCTGGTAGCCCATAGTATATTCAATATTCTTCACCAACACCTTTATTCAAATGCATCATTTTTTCTTCAGTTATCCTTATTTATTGTCCAATTGTCACGTGCATATGAAGCAACTGAAAATACCATTGCTTGGATCAGGTGCACCTTAGTCCTCAAAGTGGCATCTTCCCTTGTTAGTATTTTAAAGAGGTCTTTTCTCAGCAGACCTGCCCAATGCAATACTTCATTTGATTTCTTGACTGCTGCTTCCATGGGCATTGGTTGTAGATCAAAGAAAAATGAAATCCCTGACAATTTCAATCTTTTGTCCATTTATCATAATGTTTATTGATCCAATTGAAAAAATCAACCATTGAAATCCCTGTGAAGCATAGTCCTACTCTGACTCACATGCCATGAGTTGGAACTGACTCAACAGAACTGTTTGGTTGCAATATTTTATAAAGAATGATGTCTTCGGTTAAGCACTGTAGCAATAAATACAAATAACATTTTGTGAAATTTCCATTTTCAAATGGAAACTTATAACTTACAAAACTATATCTATTTTCTTAAATTCCAACCTATGTTTAAAAGTCTTAATGTTTCTTGAGCTTCATCACAATAAAATAAAACAATGTATAAATTTAAAATGTAAAAAATAAATATGCTTGGCTCAACACTAATAAAGGAGCAAAATATAGACTTTATAAACCCCAGGGCATTATAGTTAAAATTGTCCAGTACCAAGAGTGGCAAGCTCTCTAGGAAGATAGAGTCTTGGTCCCAGTTTCCTAGATATCACAATTATTAACATATATGGAATTCTCAAATAAGAAACAAAACTAATAAAAGAGGGTAAAACATTATTATGAATGTCTAGATTAGAAAAAAAAAAAACTAACACTGATGCTCAGTTAACATGTTTTATATGCAGAATACAATGCAATGCCATGATTTAAGTTCACAATAAAAAACAAAACTCACATACACACAAAAAGCCTGTTGCCATCAAGTCATTTCCAACTCATAATAACCCTGAAGGACAGAGCAGAACTCCCCTTAGGGTTTCCAATCCTGTAAGTCTTTATGGAGACAGACTGTCACATCTTTCTGCTGTAAAGCATCTGGTAGGTTCAAACCACTGACCTTTTTATTAGCAATTGTGTGATTTAACTACTGCACAACCAGGGATAATTTTATATTTGTTGGTGCTACCAGTACGAGCAAGAGTAAGTGAACTTTTAATGCACTTTTCACTTTCAAACGAATGTCATTTAACAATTAAAATCACATTGATGAAAACCAAATTTACTTATTCAAATTGTTGGTTTGAAAATCTTAGTAAAAATGTTTTAATAAATAGATTATATAGATTTGATTTTAGCTTGGCAATTGTTTACATGAAAATAGATGTTTCTAGAATGCTGACATATGCTTAAATATATAGATGTTCTAAGCTGTTTGTATGAATCTTATTTAATTCATTCCATTTAAAAAGTGAATAAGGTAATGTTTAAGTGAGTTTTTAATTCAAATTATCATAAAAAGGTGAATTACCAGAATTGATGTTACTAATGCCTTAATATGAGAGGTGCTGTACCTTAAAAGCACTGAGAGAAGTTTTCAAACAGGTATCCCAGACCTAACACCCAAGCCAAGAGCTCTGGTGGCATAGTGCCTAAGCCATTTGACTGCTAACCAGTGGAAGTAAGATGGGGCAACCTACTTCCATAAAGATTT